CACTGACCGATTCTAGTAGTGTACTCACTTTTTGAGTACACAAAAAATGTTCGCATATTTGTGACACTAGACAAGTATAGAAAAAGTTTATTTATATATATGTATGTGAATTCTTTAGATAATTTGGGTTAAAAAAACATGTAATTATTTGTAATAAAATAATAATGTTAAGTGTAACTGGATTTATACTCAATATAATAACATTATGTATGAGTTCATTAACATGTCTTATGTCATTTATTCTAATAATTTATATAATTTCTCATCTATTAACTAATCATATAAGAGAAGAAGATAAAATAATTGTTATTCATAGTATTACAATTTATATATTTCTTTTAATTTATGTATTAATATTAATATCATTTAATATTCAAACATTATTAGGTGATTTATATGAATTAAATTTTAATTCATTCTGGTGTATAATTATGGGATATTGTTCTCCTCTTGTTCTTAGTACATTGTATTTTGGTTTTGTCAATCAAGTAATTATTTTGAAAAATATATTATTTCTTCTTTTCTTTTCTTAACTATTCAGGCTTTTTTTCGTCTTTGTCGAATAATCTATTGGAGAAATGAATGGATTGAATCATTTCAATTTTATATAATAATTCCATTTATTGAATTAATCATATCTGCTCTTTTATCAAGTCCAATTCTATTTTGGCATGATATTATTTATTTACCCAATGATTATTTTTGTTATGTATCAGTTTCAAATACTCGTGGTATCCTTTGGATATTTTTTGTTTCATTTGGAAATTGTATTCTAATCTTATTATTTATTTATATAAGAATAACAATATATCTTCGTCAACAATCAAATAATCAAATAATTCCATTTCGACAAGGTCAACAACGAGATTTAATTGTTATTCAACGTATTTTTATAATTGTAGGTTTATTATCAATTCTTGGAGTTCCAGCTGCAGTTTTTCTACTTATATTTTTTATCAGTGGTCAAGTTCATCCTCTTGTATGGCGTATTGAATTATTTTTTGTTGGTTTACAAATGATAGGATTATGTTTATCTCAAATAACACTTATTCCACAATTAAAACAAATTATTTTACAAAAATTTCAACATAATCGAGTTATACCTTTAAATACTGTAGTAACTCGATCAATTCCTTTGAAACAATATATAACTACTCGATGAATAATTAAACATCGATCGTATAACATTATTTATTTTTAAATAATATGAAAAAGAAAGAATATTTATTATTTAGTTTTTTGTTATATTGAATTATCTATCTATATGGATATGACAAAACAGTATGGGGATGAAAGACTTGTGATCGATTGAATAGAGGAGTATGTTTCATTATCTTTATTCATATTTAATCTCTAAAACTTTCATTTTTTATTTCAATAAAATATTTTTAGAATTAACTTTTTATCTTTAAAATTTCAAATAAGATTTGTTGAAAAGTTAATTCTATTGAAAGATGTTATTAAAATGAGTAAAATATATAAGAAAATTATACGAAATTTAACTTTCAATCAGAAAATACTTTTTTTCTTATTTAAATTCTATTTCAAATTTGGAATATTTAAGAGATAAATTCTCTTATCTAATCACCAAACAAACATAGATGATCACATTGATTTTCATGATACAATTCTATTTTAGGTATTAGGATAATATGTTTCTTTGATGAAAATATTTTAATAACAACATTTACGCATTCATCAGAGCGGAAAAAAAAGAATAGTGATGGAGTGTTTGTCCTTCTCTTCAGAAATAAAAATGTACGTAACAACAAGATTTATATTTAACATGTCATTACTTACTAGAAAACAATTAGATCAACTTATTGAACATTAGATTTCATCAATTGAATAGAATAGTAACATACTTATTTTGTCTTATGCTACTTCTAAAGCAGTATTTATCCTTCTTATTCGAATCGAAGCATATGAATGGTCTGCGATGCAAGAAATATATTTATTAATGCTCTATATCCAAGTTATTGTAGTATCGATCTAAGTAAACATAAAACAAACAGTAGATTTTCAGAACTTTAAAGTAGAAATTGATGAAGAATATATTTTCTTTTGTTTAGATAGAAATCAAACATTTTAAGTACAACGACTTTCTTTGCTATTAGTATAAATGTAGAACTTCGAAGAATTGATTCCACTTTTAAACTTGATTTATCTAATATGAACAAATAAGAAGAGAGAGAGAGAGAGATGATGAAATTGTTTAAAACTTCGTAGAAAATTATCAAAGTAAACTAGATCAACTCTATTTTATCACATCACATTGGTCTATTTATATCGGCCAAATAAAACAAAGTTAATCTACTTATTTTTCAAAATAAAGATGATATAAAATACTTTACAACACTCAACAAAAAAAGATAAAAGTTCTCACATAGTATCTCAGCAAGAAAAAAAAAGAATTCATTTTATCAGTAGAAAAAAGAGATAAATATCTTTTTTTTGCTTGGGTACCTCCATGTTAGACGACTAATATATATATATATAAAGTTGAAAGATAAATGTCGAATCATAATATCTGTTTTTCAAACATTGTGCAATAATTAAGAATATAATGGAAAAGATGAATCAATTCATTTTTTTTATTGGTTTGATGTTAATGATGGTAACTTGTATGAGAGGAACCTCTGTAAATCAACATAAAATCAATGATTCCCCGAAGTATTTAACCAAAAAAGTTGACGGTGCAGATTGTACTACAACAACTGTTAATAATCAAGCTTGTCATGCTGGTCATTGTCATAATAGTACAACTTATATTCATGGTTGTGATACATATGATCAACAATGGGATAATCTTACTGTAAATTATAATATTCATAATACAACTGGTTGGAGTAATACAACATGTAATCTTTATGCTTCTTGGAATATCGATACAAATGATCTTTGTGGATATGCTAATTTAACTTTTACATCTTGTACAAATGGTGATTGTCGAAATGGTACAATTGAAATAAATGCATGTCTTACTCCTGATTATAAAATAAACAATCTTAATAGTGCATCGAATTCTTTAGAACTTGCTATTAATGATGGTCTTGGAGATTTCTTTGGTATACCATGTGTTAATCTTTTATATGATAATTTTCGTCGTCAGCGTTTTCATAATAGTATATATTAAGGTAAATATTTTGGTTTGTAAGATATTCTTTCGATTTGAACTCATCAAAACGATATCTTTCATGTTTTAATTCATCATTCTTACATTTTTTTTCTTTATAGAACATTTGTAATGAAACATAAATCCAATGCTTCGATCGTATTTTCATTATCATCAAACATTATTAATTAGTTAATTTTTATTTTTGTCATCTTATCAACTAATAAATTTATTTCGAATTCTTATATAAAAAATTTATTGTTACAGATCAGGGTGTAGTAGGATATCGACCCTCATCCCTAGTCAAAAGTAAGCTAGGGGAGTAAGAATGAAAGCTCTGAGATTAATAAAATAATAAAACTAATATAATTACCACTCAAAAGTAATGTAGCACGTGTAGTTCAAGCAGTGATCCGATCATCATTCTATCAGGATCCAACATAGACTACTACTAACGTAGATTTACTGGATGCCGGTTGTAAAGCTTTCGATCCAAAATCAATCGAATCTCATTGATCTCGTCCAACATTCTCTTCGTAGACACAGTGAGGAAATATAAAATACAACCAAATCACAAATAACTGGAAGTCACTATCCACCATATATTGAGGGTGTGGTAGTGAATCTGAGTGGGGGATAATGAGTGTGGGCGGTCAGATGTGTAATAGATTATAGTGGATGTAAACGTAGATAAAGAATGGTGATGGATTTTTACGTCGGTGAAGCAGTAGTTGAGGGTGACGAATACCTCGATGAGTGCTGATTCTTTGATTTCTCAGTCTGTCGCCTACACTTCGATAGACGATTGCACTCACAAAATAAGCTCTGTGATAGCATCACAGTCATATCTGAAAGAGTATTTATTGATTTAGTTAGTAGTCGTTAAGCCGACGCGTTACTGATATTAAAGTAGATCAAGTCTATTTTCTCACGTCATATTGGTCTATTTATGTTGGCCAAGTCAAATCTAGTTGATTTACTTAACTATTCGAAATAAAACAAAGTTAACCTACTTATTTTTCTAAATAAAGATCAAATTAAATTCTTTGCAACACTTAATATAAAAAAAAGGTAACAGTTCTTACCACTAGTCATATGAATGGTGTCTCTGTAAGAAGAAAAAAAAGATATTTATCTCTTTTTTTACTGATAAAATGAATTCTATTTTTCATCATGGGTACCTCCATGCTGGACGACTAATATATATATATATATAAAGTCAAAAAATAAATGTAAAATCATAAATATTTGTTTTTCAAACGTCGTGTAATAATTAAGAATAATGGAAAAGATTAATCAATTGATTTGTTTCATTGGTTTGATGTTGGCAATGGTAACTTGTTTAGCAGGAATGTCTGTGAATCAACGTAAAATGAATGATTTTGCGAAACATTTAAGCAAAAACGTTGAAGGTACAGATTGTGTTACCACTAGTGTTGGTAGTCAATCTTGTCATGCTGGTCATTGTCATAATAGTCAAACATATATTCATGGTTGTGATACATATGATCAACAATGGGATAATCTAACTGTTAATTATGATACTCATAATTCTAGTGGTTGGCGTAATACAACATGTAATCTTTATGCTGCTTGGGAACCAGCTATTGATGATACTTGTGGATATGCCAATTTAACTTATAGTTCCTGTACAAATGGTGATTGTCGAAATGGTGTAATTGATATAAATGCTTGTTATAGTCCTAATTATGTAGTGAATTATCTTCGTAGTGCTGCCTCTACTCTTTTTGCTGGTGGTGTTGACGATAGTGTTAATGATTTTTTTGATATTCCTTGTGTTAATTTGTTATTTGATACTTTTAGTCGTCGTCATTTTGGTAATAATAAAATAGGTAAATAGATTTTCTGAAATATTTTTTCTTTATAGAACGTTTGTAATGAAACACAAATCTACATACAACAAATCCAATGCTTCAATTGTATTTTCATTTTCATTGAACATTATTAATTAGTTTATTTTTATTTTTGTCATCTTATAAACTAATAAATATTTTTTAGAGATCAAAATTCGTAACATGATTTAATATAGATAATATATATTTCATAATAGTCTCTATCGATTTTTAGTCTAGAATGATTGTTTAGTAAAACAAGAACATGTTATAGAATTTGATCATAATTTTCATTATAAGAAGAATTTTACATTCTTCTTATTGATATCAATGAAAAATTATTATGTGCATTTAGAAAAAGAAAAGAAAAAAATTCATTGTTATTGTTTTGTTCTATATTTATTTGGAACTAAATTGTATTTATCTATTACAATTTGAAAGATACATTTTTCTTAATCCTTATTAGATCAACTTCAGAATTTAATAATAAAATAAAAAGAATAATAAATATGAGTATGGATATCGAGAAGATTTTCATTTCATCTATAAAGTACATGTAATGACCGATATCTTGACATTTTGTTATTTTATAAAAAAGTAATAATACATGTACATGATTTCTTATCTCTTTCTCCAACAAAAAAAAACTAAAGAGAAGAAAAAGCAAAAGTGATGATTAATATTAAGAATTGTTTAAATCATTTGACTTATTCGTAGTTATTTTCTTCTAAGCATGTGATGAATGTACATATTTATCTTGAGATATAATTAAAAACAATGGATGGTTATTTAGAGCATTAGATGAATGTATATAGATGTGATTGTAGGATGATTATCGTCTTCGTCTTACATCTTTAAGATTTTCTTTAGGTAAATCAACAATAATATTTAGTAGACGTGTTATATCTTATATTATTTCTATGAAAAAAACGTTCTCAGTAAAGTTCTATTATCAGTTGTTTAAATTGTGTGTCACGTATTTATTTCTAATCTACCCTTTATATTTTGATTAGCAAACTTGTGAATTATTTTATATTGACAATTTAGTAACGAACTTTCAGATCGAATAAATCTTGTCGATATAAGTTAACCGCGCCTTATTTCGGTCTCCGGTGCATTTATTTGATTTTTTGTGAGTACTTTTGTTGAAGAATACATTCTTATATGAAAATAAATCATCATTTTTCTTTTTTTAACTTACTGAATAACAATAAAAATCAAATATGAATAGATTATAACTGCTATGCATCAATGTATAACAGATCTTTATAATCATCATAAATACTTAACAATGTAATAAAAGATTAAATTGAGATGAAATAGATTTCTATTTACAACTATTCATCCACTTTCGTAAGTAAATGTTTGTTAAATTAAATTCTTTCAATTTTAATCTTTCTATAGAATTTATCAGAACTTCGAATGGCTTCTTAATTCACATTTATTTTATTTTCATCTTAAGAGTGTGGGTGTGGATTGAAAATAGAGATAATCACAGCCACATTCATAATACTTAACAACATTCTAGTTGGAAAGTTTGAATATCAGTGTATCCATAGACATTCATTTGCCGTTAACTGGCGAACACATCATACTCATATTGACATTCATAAATGAGACCCTTCATTTTTTGTCTTCTCAACATGAAAGTGAGAAAAGCAGAATAGCATTAATAAAACGATGAGGTTCGAAATTCAATTTCTTCATTTCTATTGTAAAACTTTCCTAGGAACATTTTTGTATGAGATAATTCTATGATTGAGAATGATAATATGACAGAGTCTGTATGAGTGTATTTTGGAAAGATCTTTGAATAGTAGTAAATCTATAAAAATCAGATTGTGGATGAATTCCTATTAATTATGTATATTTTGTTAGTTTTGTGGTGAAAATTGTCTCTTTTAACAAAGTTTCGATCTTTTCGTCGAGTTCTCATGCTTATTTCACGTTGTTTCTTCCAATTTATTTTGGTGGGTACAGCAGTTTGTGCAGTGATTTCATCTAATTATACTTTTCAACGCTTAACACAGGTAATTCTATGAAATTGCTTAGTGAAATAATCGTCGAATGATTATGTTTTGTTCATAAACTAGCCGTGGGAATCAATCTCGAGAAAGTTATTGTCCATGGCAGTTGATAACAAAGATGGAGCCTTATGTAATGTCACTAACACGTCCATTTTCAGCATGTTTGCAACAGGCAAAGGCTCTTATACATTTAATGGTGCTGGTCAACAAGAATGGCAAGTTCTACGTAATACCAATACAAAATTTGTTGTCTATGGTATGTTAAGATAAATAATCTAGCAGAAATATTAGCAATAAAAAAACATTTTTGTCATTTGACAAGATCAGTTTTGTCGTGACTTTGTTCGAGAATCTATGTTTATATCTCAATATTTAGATTTAAATTCATATATGAACAGATATATATAAGATGTTTCGTTAAATCATGTCTTTTCTAAGACACAAATTTAAATATGAATCAGTAATAGTCCTTCTTACAACAGAACTTTATCATATATTAAAATAAATCTGTAAAATCGACAGTTTTCACTGAAAAATATTCAAATTTATTTAATAATTTCAAAGTATTTTTGATGAGTTGTATTGATGAAGAGGGAAAGCGTACTGAAATTTTCGTCTTTTTTCTATCTTGACTGTTAAAAGTTTGTGTATATGAGTCTGTTGTATTATCGAGATTGCATTGAATCTATTTTTCAAATATATGAGTATTGTCAATCATCCGTCTTTTTGCTTGTGGTAGATTTAAACTTACGAGGGAACCTCACTGACTGTTCAATCGCTTTTTTAATAAAAACCATTGGTATAGAAGTTATCAACTGTGCTGATTCCGAATATGGGCATAAGAAGTGCCCTTAGACCTTTATAGAACGGTTTTGTAGAAAACCGATTTCCAAAAACCATATACTTTCTACTACCCAGACAGACACGATCTTTAAAAAAACGCGTAGAAACGCGTTAATAATTCGTAAAAACGCCGTTTTTACGGTGGTCTATCGTTGAAACACTGTTTGGACGCGCTTTTTAAAGATCATGTCTGTCTGGGTAGTAGAACTTATGTGATTTTTGGAAACTGGCTTTCTACAAAACCGTTCTATAAAGGCCTAAGGGCACTTCTCATGCTCATATTCCGAATCAGCACGGTTGATAACCTCTATAACAATGGTTTTTATTAAAAAAGCGATTGAACAGTCGGTGACGTTCCCTCATTAGTCAATCCAATATGTCAAACTTACAGTATAGAAATAAATAACAATATTGAACAAGAAAATCTTACTAATTAGAAATTTTGTCAAATAATGACAGACATAAATAAATTCACTGTGTATTCCATTATTTCTCATTTGAATGGTTTAGGGAAAAATTTGAATGGAAGTATAATATCATTTACGACTCATCCAAATACTTGTTCATTGGAACAAAAAGATCATTTGTATACATTGACAATGGATACAATTGATTCATCTCAATCTATGATTGAACAGGCTTTCTTTACACTGAATCTACCCTATTATGGTTCAACACTATATGTTTGTCTACAATCACCTAATACACCATATGCATGTCATCAAGGCGATCGGTAAGTTTTTTTTTCTAATCTATTTTGAGTTGAACTTGAATAATTAATGTAGATTAGCTTTAAAATTGATTGTTACTAAGCCTGTTCTACCTGTTTGGGTAACAATTCTTTTCGTGTTATTTCTTCTCTGTTTATCAAGTCTTTTCTCTGGTCTCAATTTGGGTCTTATGTCATTAACACCACAGGAACTTCTTGTCATTCAAGAAGCCGGATCACCCAATGATAGAAAATATGCTAAAAGTATTTATCCAGTACGTAAACGAGGCAATTTTTTACTTTGTACAATTCTTTTGGGTAATGTTTTGGTTAATTCAATAACAACAATTCTTCTTGATACATTAATACATGGAATATTGGCTGTAGCAGGCGCTACTCTTGCAATTGTTATTTTTGGTGAAATTATTCCCCAAGCTATTTGTTCACGATATGGTCTTCTAATTGGTTCGAAAACAATTTTTCTTACCCGTTTTTTTATGATTTTAACATCTCCTATTGCTTATCCTCTTGGTAAACTTCTCGATCTTATTCTTGGTAAGAAGAAAAATTTATCAATATTTTTTCTCTACCTAAAACATATTTTTAATCTGATTTTCAGGCGATGAAATAGGTGCTAGTTATACACGTGAACAAATGAGTGTCTTATTGAAACATTCTCAATCACCTGATATTGAAGATCGAGAGAAAAATATCATGACCGGTGTATTGAGTTTGAAATCGAAGAAAATTCGTGATATAATGACTAATTTAATTGATGTTTTCATGCTCGAAGCTGATCAAGTTGTTGATGATGAACTTATTTTATCTGCACATGGTTATGGATATTCACGTATACCTGTTTATGAAAAACAACGGTAAGATATTAATTCAATATTTGAATTACACATTGTCTATCAATTGTTTTTCTTATTTTAGTGATAATATTATTGGTTTAGTCAATATGAGAGATTTTGCTCTACTTGATACTGAATCAGGAAAATTTACAGTAAGAAATGTTATGACTTTTTATAATCGTCGTTATGGGAAATTGATTATGCCTGATGATTCATGTTATGAAGTATTTAATAAACTTAAAAAAGGTAATGAGTAAAGATCATCTTGTAATTTTATTTCAATGAAATATTTTAGAACAATATCATATGGGTGTGGTTATTGAATATGAGAATAATAGTTCTCTTGATCCAAAAGTAAGAGCAGTTGGTATTGTTACATTAGAAGATATTATTGAAGAAATGATTCAAGAAGAAATTATTGATGAAACTGATGTGTTTAGTAAGTAAAATATTATTATTTTTTAGAAGACAAAATTCAAATCTATTTTAGCTGATAATCGTGGTAAAGTACGAAATAAATTATCACAAGCACCCAATTTCTCAGCGTTCATTCGTCACACAAATACAACTGATGATACAACGAAAATATCAGCTCAAATGAAAGTTGCGATTTTTCAATTTCTTTCAACAAGTACGTTAATTTTATATGACATTAGACAAGTCAGAGAGATGAAAATTGTCACTTTTATTTTACAAATCAAATTCTTTCTGAATGATTGTTCTGTTTATTTATTCTAGGTGTTGAACCATTTACTTCCCACTTCATATCATCTGATATTCTTGCTCGTTTATTAAATATTCAACTCTATCAAGAATATGAGTATGATGAAGAAAAATTTAAAATGGGTAATGTCACGTACATCTATGAATATGGAAAACCGGTTGATTATTTTGTAATTATTCTTAATGGACAAGCAGAATTAATAACTGGGAAAGAGAAAATTGTTAGTTTAGTCGGTCCATTTTCTTGCTTTGGTGTCAGTGCATTACTTTGTGTAAGTAACAAATCATCATTTTAGTATTATTTTCAATAATAATCTTTTTCTTTTCTTTTTCTAAAGAGTCCCGATAGTACCGTAGAAGATATTTTACATTCTAAAAATCTTAAATCTCGATCATTCGTACCAGATTTCAGTTTACGAGTTTGTGAGGATGTGCAACTTTTACGTATTCGTCGTCGACATTGGTTAGCAGCTGTTCGTGCAAATTTCTTTGAAAATGAACGAAAAATCGATGGTGGTGCAGCAATGCTCAATTCTAATGGTGAACAAATTGATTTATTAATACAAGAATTAGAAAAAGCGAATTGTGTTGATCAACTCGAAACAGGTATTAGACCATCAAATGAAACAAAAGAAAGAACACGTAAACGATCAATGACTTTTATACCAACAATGAATCCGATACCTGTTAAAACAGAACCTAAAGGTCATTTCAAACGACCTCGTTCAAGATCTGGTTCGCAATACGTTGATAACAGTTCACCGGAGATTCCAACAATTTTAAATCATAGTACATTGAATTTAACTGACAATCAACATCATCATTTATCTTCTACTGATCAGACTTAACTTATTTATAAAAATACATTTATCAATCTTTTTACTCCATCTACTCATTCTTTTATTTGATTTGATTTTTTCAGTTTTTGTATTATTAGACGACACAAGATTCAATTGATTCATTACTCAAATGTGATTTACTATATTTTCTTTGTATCCGTAGAAAAGATTTTGATGACACGTATTTCAACCCATGAGTTACTAATCTTATCAAGTAAATTAATTATCATTTTGAGTTTCAGTACATTGATCAGAGAAAATAAATTCAAAATAACAAAAGTATCCATTCACCCTCTCATGGTATCCTTATTTTATTATATTTTCTTTGGAAATAAAATTTTATTTAATTCTTTTTGAATTTGTAAGACAATTGTTGATGAATATCATTAAATATTTGTTTAGTTTTCATTAAAATTTCTTGATAAAATTTATCTCCATCAATATGATTTGAATATTGAAGAATTTTCGTTGCACATGTTTTTAATAATTGTTTATCAGATAAACATATAATTGCATGTTTTTCTTTATCATTACAATTTGAATCAATAGTAGATATTAATCTTTCAACTTCTTTTTCATATTTTCCAATAGCAATAACAAATTTTTGTACGTCAGGATCATTTAAATCTTTTCGATGATCAATAATCGATGATTGAAATGATGAACATAATTCATTATTTTCATCAATAAAATCATTTGATTTTATACATTGATTTAAAGTTTGAATAAAACGATTTTTAACATTATGATTATCTAAGAATGCAACAAAAGATGATATTGCTTTTGAACGATATTCAGTTGTACAACATTCTTCTATAACTTGACAATAGCCGAAAGGTTCTAATTTTCCAACTGAAACAGGTTTTAAAGACCAAATTTTTTCAAATAATTCTGCCATATCCTCAGCATCTTTATCAATCAATGATGATGATGATAATTCATGTGAAGAACTATTAATACCAATCACAATTAAAATATTCAATAAACCAATAAAGAAACAATTCATTTTAATAATTCAATCACAAATGAAATGTTTTCATTGTTTTTATAATAAAGTTCGAATTGTCGATAAATATCAAAGAATGTTTTTCATTTATTTTTTTCTCATTAATCGAATCAAGATAAAGGCGAAAGATCAATATGCAAGGATGCGAAGAATTATTCAATTTCATCATGTTTCGTTCTCTCATAAACACAAACAGATTTTATCTAATGATATAATAATAAATGGATGATAAACATTTATTACAATTCATCCATTTTATAATAAGATAATTGTATGTCAAGTTTTAATTCGTGTTTTATTGATTATTTTTGTAAAAATACTCAAAAGTTAAGTCATTTGAGGACATATTTGAAAATCTATTCATATATTTATTTAGTATTTGAAAATTAGACAAACAAGTTCATTTTGTTTTGTATTGGAGGGTTTTCATGTAGATTCGCTGTTGAATATCTCTTAATAAAAACATAGAAATTTACAAATCTGCTGCAAATAAACAAACAAAATGATATTGAAAACATTTGATATAATATTCTATGTTATTTCAGAATTTCTCATAGATATTTCGTCAAATAGATGCCACATTTATCAAGAGAAATCATTCTCAACCGATGAATACTATATGTTGAAAGTTAGAGTGATTATCTAAATTGATAACTAAATGTGAGAAATATGATTCACACACACATTCTTTTCTTGCTCCGAAGTTGGACCAATGAAAAAATTTGTTATTAAATACTTTAAAAACAGAGTTATTTATAATTTCGTATCTTCAATGTCTAACATCATCTGATAATTTAATTCTCCTGCTTTTTTTCTATAGATAACAGCAAAATGATAACCTAAGAAAAGACAAAAACTATAGTCAGAAGCCGTAGAAAATTTGTGTTTTTTTCATTCTACATAGAAATATTTCAAAATTTAGTTATTATTATGTGAGGGAATATTACAAATGACAAAGTATTTTAAATGAATAACACGGGCTATGAGATATTTTTTTTTGATCTGATAAAAAAAACTTGTCTTTTTTACTGAAACTAATAAGGTGATATGGAAAAAAGGATTTGTTTTCTATTGATTCTTTTTCAAATTTTAGCAATGAAAATGTTCATAAATATTGTGATGATGTTTTTAATTACAATGATAAGTACGATTCTATGTCGTAAAGTAACACTTAGTAATGTAATTCCTCGACGAGATACCGATGGAAATATAATGGATGCTCATGATGGTAATGTATTTTATCATGATGGTCTTTATTATTATTATGGTGCAAGTTATGGTTTATGTAAAGAACCTCCAGGTCCATCAGGTTGTACAGAATGGCATATAGGTGGATGTGGTTTTCAACTTAATCATAATGTTAGTCTTTATACATCAACAGATCTTTCTGTATGGAAATTTCATGGATATGTTTTTGAAATGTCTTCAATGAAAACTCCCGGAATAATGTTTGGTCCTCGTGTTTTGCCAAATCAAAAAACAAATAAATGGGTTATGTGGTTTAATTTTTTACCAGCTACTGGTACAGGTGTTTCTCAATCACAATGTGCTGTTGCGATATCTGATACAGCTCAAGGTCCATTTGAATTAGTTACTGAAAAAGTTACAACATTAGCATGGGAAAATACAGGAGATTTAAATCTTTTTCAAGATGATAATGGAGATGCTTATATTATTTATAATGCACATATTGATGGTAGTGTTTATAAACCTGATCATTTAATGTCTGTTGAAAAATTATCTGATGATTATCTTAGTTCATTAGGAAAAGAATTTAATAGTGGATATTTTGGTCAAACTTTTGTTGAAGGTGGTGCAATGTTCAAACGGAATGGAATCTATTATGCTGTATTTGGTCAATGTTGTTGTTATTGTTCGGATGGAGCATCTGTTACAGTCTATAGTTCTTTGCATCCGCTCGGACCATTTGATACAATGAATAATTTAGGAAATGAAGGTCATGCTCAATTATATAATATTTTACAATTTAAAACTAGTGGAAATGAAACTTATGGATATTTATGGCAAGGAAATAAATGGCAAAGTTCTCCAGATGGTGCTAAAGGACATGATTTTACATATTGGTCACCTCTAGCTTTTGATTCATATGGTAAAGTCAAATATATGAACTATGCTGCTAATTTTACTATTGATGTTATTTCAAATATTTATTAAAATCTATTTTAATCCTACCAGTTTTCTATTCACATTTTGTTTTACATTGATTTGAAACAATTGAGTACCTTTTTTCAACGTGCCATATAATAATCATCTAATAGTTGAATTAAAGTTTCAATTAATTACAGATAAAATATCAATACCTAACATATACTTGACTTTATTTCCATTAAATTCTATTTACTCTTGCATTTCGATTTTCATCAACGAAGAAACTGTCATAGAAATAATAATCAATTATTTTCTCTCAGTCAATGAACACTAGTAGATTAATTTCTTAAAACAAATATAAAATTTTATTTTTAAAAATAAAAAAAAAAAGATTTAATTAATGTTAATCTCTGTTGATAATTGAAGTTTATTAAGAATTCTTTTCGCTTCACGTATTCCACTTTCAAATCCACTATCAACATAACCAATCGATCCATTATAATTAGTATGTTCTCCAGCCCAACAAACATGTCCATCATGTGTTTCACGAGATAATTCTTTTAAAGTTTCAATATTACTTCCAACATGAAAACTTGAATATGAACCTTGAGAAAATGGATCTGATCCCCATCTTGTTATTAACCATTTTATTGGATAAGTTATATTTGGATAAATTTGCCTAAGTGATTGAAATATATCATCTACAATTTGTTTATCAGTTTTTTGTTCAAATTGTCTTGCTTGATAACCTGATACATATAATGCTAACATAGAATATTCAGGTAAACAATAATAAAATTGTGATTGATCTTTAACAATAGTTATTCTTTTTAATTGTTTATCCCAAAATCTATTAGAAAATTGAAGATAAATTTTATTTAATAAACCAAAACCCATTTTTTCAATTGCATCTTGTTTCCATTGAGGTAATGATGGAGAAAAATTAATTGAATTAGATTTTAAACAACCTAATGGAATTGTTAATAAAACATATTTACATAAATATTTTTTCTTATCTTTTGTTTTTATTTCAACAATATTATTTAATATATTAATATTAGTAACAATACTATTGAATTGAATTGAAAGATTAGATTTTGATGCGATATTTTTAACTAATGTACCTAAACCATTAAAAATTGATAGATCAGATTCTATAAGATTTCCTTCACCTTTTCCATAACATTTACTTGAAAGTTCATTTAAATTTGAACCTTCATGACATTCGATATAACTAAGACACATTTTAATAACAGATTTTATATTATTATCATGAATATTTTCTAATTGATTTCGAATTAAATTATAGATTGATATATCAGATATTTCATTTGAATATTCTTTTGTTCTTAATAATAAATCGTCAACATATTTCATAGCTTTATTAATTAAATCATCAGAAATGAGATTTCCATTTTCATGAAATATTTTCATTGTTAATTTATCATAAGAATCTGATTCAATAAAATCTTTATCTGATGAAATATAATGACTACGTAAATAATTATTTTCTTCATGGTGACAAAGATAATGTGCACCAATATCAACTGGAGTATTTTCATCAAATGTTGTTATATCGGTATAAGCTCGACCACCAATACGATCTCGTGCTTCTAATATAACATATTTTATATTTGATTTCATTTTTTCAAATTCAATACCAGCACCAATACCAGATGGACCACAACCAATTATAATTACATCATATAAATCGATCATTTTTATCAAAAAATTAAAATTAAAACAAATATTTATTTATTTTAATTAATAAAATCAAAGAAATTTTTAAATTTTAGTTATATAAACTTGATCCATATTCGAGATCAACATTAATAACAACACTAAAACTCTATTTCCTATTAGAAAATACTCACCACTCGAATTTTATTATAAAAAAATCAAGAATATTTCGACACATATTTGAGATTATTATATAGGATCGTTCTTTATCTTTCATAAAGTCACATCTATTTCAATAGAAAATAAAACTATCATAACTGGTCATACTGCAATTATAAATACATTTTGTTATAGTCTATATACTCTCGAACAGTTTTAAAGACAAATCAATATTCATCAATTAATGCAAAATTCTCAAACGAAAACTACAATACTTTTCTTAACAATTGAGAATAAAGTGAACCTTCATTAAAAATGAACAATGAAATAATGCATATGACCGATAATAAGATATCAATTGAAGAAAAATTCAATCAAAAAACAATTTCTAGATCTTATCTTGTTCTTTTATACCAAACTCACTGACAAATAATAAAATATAACATGCACATATTCAATGTTATCTTATCTTTCTGAGTATATTTATTTCTCTTTGTAAAAATGATATCGTACCTCATGCTATAAATTCTAAGACAGTTGAGAAGAATGTTAATGTCAGGATTCAAGAATGATGTATCTCATGTTCACACCCTCAATAATTAACAGCTATCGATCGTTTTTGATATTTTCTGTCATAATTTTTTTTATGATTTCAAAAAATGAATCTTACAATTTTAAATCTATATCGGTATTATTTTTTTGCATTTTTAATTGGTAGTTAAATATTTATGACTAAATTAATACAAAATATAGCTTTTTCTTTTTTTTTGTTCACTTTCAATTATCTTACTGATTATCATGATGCAAATAGTAGGACCTTCACGCATCTTCTATGTTAATAAATTATAGAGGGCACTGTATATAACACTTCTATTTATCTATAGTTCTTAGAGTAGATGCTCCACTTGAGTTCGAATATAAACGAACATTCAAAAACCTAAAACTCCTTTTATCCTACCAAAAAGAAAGAAACTGTCTTCTTCTCGCCCGCATCTAAAACTAAATCTGTTCCTGTCATTCAGCAATTATTTTCGAATTCGAATCAGGCAGCTCATGTATGCAAGAAGTTAATTTGTTACTACAAAAACATTATACAACGAGTGTTAATATCGATAGTATAATTACAAGTTTAATTCTTAAATAAAATAGTCGCTTGATTGATGACTTTTTTGGTTGTAAAGTAGAAGAAATATTGAGAATAATCCACATTTATATGAAGTACATGGTTTAGAAAAATTATTTCGATCATTTATTCATGCAGTTATTAATTATATTAACAAAAACCAACACCACCACCATTACCAAGAATAAAAGGAACAACAATCACAACAGAAGTTACTGAAGCCGCTAATATCGATCTTCCAACACAAGTTGTTAACAAAACAAAATCCGCTAAAAACAAATTGGTCAATCCACAACAACTCCAACAAGATCGAGCTCACCCGGGTCACCACGTTCACTGCAGGTGACACCAGTAACTCCAATTTTATCTCCAACAACTTATGAACAACATAGAACATTGTCTGACATCGGGTGCGTTAGAGTTGCCATCAGTAGCACCACAAACACAAAATGATATAACATCAACAATCACCATTCATGCATCAAAGCCTGTTCATCTAGGCAAACGTAAACGTTCAGCATCGCTACCACCACGACGATCATCCTCAAAAGAATATGTGGTCCTTCAAGACATATTTGTGTTTAATTCTACAAAGTTCTGTCAATCTTCGTGAAATAGATATTGAAGAAGAAGAATGTGATATTAGAACCTATTAACGACACAAGAAAAAGCCGCCAATTAGATGCGATCATTTATGGGCTTATCTTCTCAATGGTGAAAATGTGCGTAGTTCGCAAAAATGACTTCATTTTATACTTTTTTCCATACTTGCGTCGAATGCTTTCTGTGATTCTATCTTCAGTCACATGAAGTTTTTATGGAATAATAATCGAAAAAAGTGAAAAATGATCTTGTAGGAATAGAATCAAAAACTATGCTGACTTTTTATATAAATTATACAGAATTATATGAATATGTTCTATCTAAGCCGAGTTCGTTAAAAGAAACTCGTTTACCAGAAAAATACTCGCATATTGCAAAACTTTTACGCTTGGTAAAATAAACAAATCATGATTACTATATGTTAGTTTTATTTTTCGTTCGTATCACTTTGTAAGAAAACTTTTTTTTATGTTGTTTGTATGTTTTATATGCTTTATACTACCTCTTTTTTTATTATTTGTTGGAAAATTTACTATTTTTGCTTTTCTACAAAAAAATAACTTCTCTGTGAGAATATATACAAAAACTATCCTTTAGAGAATACCACTAAATATTTTTTTATTTTCTAAAAAAATTGATTAATAAACTCCTGGTTTTTATGTGAAGACCTCTTAGTTTAAAATATTTATATGTGGTAAACATGATTATACAGCCCTTTGTGTTTATGCGTTTATTCACCTAGTTCTTAGAGTAAAATTTAACAAGAAATAAGGTGAAAAAGTATGCCAATTTCTGTAATCATCTATAGATAATGTAAATGTGTTTACTGAACATACAAGTGAAGTGTTTCTTGCGTTCTTTCTTTCATGACATCCGATGAAAACTCGAAACAGAATTTAATTAAAAGAATCTATTACATGGAAAAGAAAAATATTATTTCTTTTTCTCTTTCTACTCATTAATTCTAGTTTCATTTTCATGACGTCGATTATATCAACTGAAATATAATAATCACTTCACTTTTAGTCAAGTATTCTTTTCATTTTTTTTTCTACTCGTTTTTCTTATAATATAGTCATGAATGCACTTTGTTGTTACATACTTAACAAACAATATACGGCACCTATTTTTGTAATAATTAAATCTTAAACTATAGAACTAAGAAAAATGAAGCAAGAAAATAAAACTACAAGTTATTTAAACAATCTTAGAAAAAGAGTTCAAAGCATAAGGCAGTGAAACATGTTCTGGAGATTTTGGTTTATATTGGTACTTTGTCCTTGTGATAGTATTCTTATCGGTAGAATAGAGAATAATATAATGACTGGTAACGTGTATAAATTATTATGGAATATACCGCAAAACCAATGCATATGTGAAATGATAAAATCAAATGAAATAATATTTGCATTAAATTATTTTTCCATAAATCAAACTTGTCAATTATTTTATTCAAATATTAGTTCAATCTTAATTGAAATTAGTTTCAATGCTTCGTTGATATTTATTAATCAATCAATAATATCAACAAAATATAGTAAGTTTATTATAAATACTACACATATATCATAGGTTTTTCCTACAATGGTTTTTATTTTGTATGAAACTCACCTTAGTCTAACATCTTGTAAGCAAGATCTTGATAGTTAATCTTTATTTAATATTTAAAAATGTTCATGTACACGTTAACAGCTTTGACAAGTTCAAAAATGTCTATTTAAAGACATTAATTAACATGGTGTATAAACTACGAAACATATAAATAACAAAAATTAATTTAGTTTAGTCAATTGATAATCGTGACAAGTTTTCATAGAAATAGAATTTTACATTCGACTTTGTTCACAGATGTCGAAGTGTGAAATCGTTGCTATTATTCTGAATTGTTTGATTTTCTATTGATACTTAAAGTCGTCAGATAATACCAGCGATATTGAATTAATGTTCAAGGGCAGAGCGAGTCTTCGTCGTATATGTTAAATCAACTTATCACAAATTATTAATAACCAAACACATTGCTAGTAAAAGAAAATATGTATAAATTTGTGCAAATCTCTGTCTGATTTTTCGTACTCTTTTTAATCTCATTCTTTTGATATAGATCCGATCACGTCTACATTACCAATAACCATATCTATGCCATCTTCATCACCAACATTGTCCTCGACAACATCGTCATTATCAACGCCACCATCGACAACGACGTCGCCGGTGACAACAACGTCAACATCATCAACTACATTATCCTCGTCAACAACATCATCAACTACA